TATGTATGTATGGTATGTATGTATATATGATAAAATGATTGTTATAAAAATGACACGCATAATTACAGTATAAGCGAGGCTGCTATTATATAGATCTTTCTCCATTCAGTTCAACAAACAACCTTGTTGCAGAGACCCTCCGGCTGTACCCGGTGTTGCCGTTCCTGGACCGCGTGAGTCTGGCTGATTACAAGCTGCCCAACACCAACATCACGCTGGACAAGGGCACGACGGTGATGATCCCCATCTTGGGCATCCAGCGCGACCCGGCCATCTTCGAAGACCCCAACAGCTTCCGGCCCGACCGCTTCGACGAGAGCAAGGGCCCCGTGCCGCCCTTCCCGCACATGGCCTTCGGCGAGGGCCCACGCATCTGCATCGGTAAGCCCCCCCACCCCCCACCACCCCACGTCTCTCTTCACTCTTACGGATTCTTCGTAAGATGAGAAAGGTATGTAGTTGCCGGTCCTAATGACCGAGATCGCTAAGGCAGTAGTGCCGTAGCGATCTCGGACCGAAGGATTGCGGGTTCGGGTCCCGCCTGGTGCATAGTTGTATTGTGTTCGGTTTTTCACCTCCTATCATCATCAAATTGTGGCATCCTAGCAGTTACCATACCGTTAAGTGCAACAGTAGTCGCTAATGACCTAAACGTAGACGTGACCTTCAATAATAAAAAAAGTGATGTGATTGTGCGCCGGAAAAAGGCAAAATTTTCGCCCAAGAAATTAATTTATTGCCGTGCTTTAGAAACGAAAAAGTTAATTAATCATATTGTTAAATTTAAAAAAAATCTTCCTCTAACACAAGGAGTAGGCTGAAATCTGCATCGGTAAGCGAACCCCCTCCCACATCTCTTTCCACTCTCTCGCCTCACGGATTCTTCGTAAAATGAGAAAGATGCTAGTTGCCGGTCCCGAAGGCAGAGATCGCTGTGGCAGTGGTGCCGAAGTGATCTCGGACCGAAGGATCGCGGGTCGCGGTCATCATCGTATCGTGTAATCATCACAGCTACCAACTACACGCAATAGTGGTCGCTAATGACCTAGCAGTTAATGTGACATAAAGTAATAAAAAAAGTTATGTAATCGTGCGCCGGAAAACGGCGAATTTTCGACTCAAAAACTCTTATTGCCGGGCTCCGGTAACGAAAAAGCGAATAAATCTTGTTGATAAATTTAGAAAAAAACATCCTCTTACACAAAAATTAGCCTGATTCCTTGTTTTCTTGTTTATTGTTTTTTGAAGATATACACAATTAAACAATGTAACTATGCACGTGTAACAACAATCGATTGCTTAGATGCCAGATTAGCGAAGATGATAAAAGAAATCGCGGCTTGATTCCAAACAAGTGTTAGAAACTCCCTTACATAGCCGGGCAAGGGTACGTATGCGACATAGATGTTTTCAAAACATCGTTGTTTTGTAGAATGCAATTCTTCACTTCATAAACAGCATACGTCATCGGGTATCCTTTAAAGAAATGCATATTAGCGTGCTAATCTGTACCCAAACAATCAGTTAGAGCCTAGTGTAGGTATTTTATCAGCTTAAATTAAAATGAACATAATATGTTCGATCTTGTCGATTGTAAAGTATAGTATAAGTCACTACTTTTCTAGAACTTCAATTAATTGATTCAAACATAATACTAAAAACAACTGCTTTCATCATCATATTCAATGGTTTGCAGCTGCGATATTTGGATTTTTAAAATGATAACAAATTCGAAAAGTCATTGTGAGTATTGCCTTTCATGCAACTGCCAAATGATGATAACAAGAAAGAGACTTATTCGATATTTTACAGTTGCCACGACAACTGACGAGCAAATATCACCATTTCTAAAAGAGAGATATTTTAATAATTAAGATTCGAGTTTTAGAACATTAGCTGTGCAAAAGCGAAAGACTAAAACAATATGTGAAATGAATAAAAATGAGTAAGTATTCCAGCGTAATTGCTCACAAACATAACTAGGAACTACAACTTCTCACAAGCAATCGCTTCTTTTCATATGAATAAAAAGTTTCGTGAAAATTGGAGCATTTACCACTCTCCCTCTGAGCAATCGCTTACTACTGATCTATTGCGATTGGTAGATTTTCACCTGTTTTGTTTGACTACATTACCGCGCCACACGTACTAGTGTCTTATGGTGTCGACCATGTTAGATTAAGTGGGAGAGTTGACGTGCATTGTTGGAAAAATCGTACGAAATCTTCCATCATTCATTCACTCACTACCTACAACCTCACAACAATGGTGTATGATCTCCCTTCTATCCATTCAATACTATTTGAGACACCTACAGATGTTGCTCCAAAAAATCGAAGTAAATGCTTTGCACTAGAATTTAGTCATATGAAAAGTAAGCAATTGCTCCTCTGCCAAGCAGTAACAATCCAATTGAGAAATTACTCAGAGATCAATGATCACGTCCTTTATTCATAATGTTTGAAGCAATTGCTTTGAAAACTCGAGAAAAAAAGCAATATCTCATCACACAATATACATCACATTGTATAATATTTTAAGGCAATGCCTAGAGGTTAATGCTTGACAGAACACGCTTCAAAAAAAGTATTTTCCGAAGAAGGATTCAAACTAGTGGTGCTCAAATAGCACATTCTTTCTCGCCCGTATTTTCATCCAAAATAACATCAAAAGGAGTCAAAGTTTCCAAAAAATGTGCAAGACCTTATTTCAGAATCTATCTTTAAGGTACATATTTCATTAAGAGAAAATTTTTCTACCTTCATAATTATTAATTGTAGTAAGACGGCAAAAAAAATTGAATTTGTGCAATTTGCGAAACATCAGTTTTGAACGAAAATGAGATCTACACTATTCTTTTACGCGTCCAACAAAAATATTTAATCAAAAATGGTAGTAAAACAAGCGATTAGACGAACGATTTAGCCGCTAGGGTTTTTCACAGACGGACGGACAGACGGATAGAAGGACGGGCAGATTGAAGTTTTGCCGTCATTCCATTTGTCGGTGTGAAGGACCCACAAAACCTGAAATCTGTCTGTTACGTGTTAGAGAATATTTTTTTCTAAATTAAGCCTCTTTTTCGCGCAGCATTATATAAGTTTTTCTCTACCGCCAAATCGGTAGTGAGAAAGAGAAAACAAATCGGTTCTAAGGAGGCGTTTCTCTCCACAGGAATGCGGATGGGGTACATGCAAGTGAAGGTGGGGCTGGTGCACTTCCTCAACCACTACGAGGTGCGTCCCAGCAAGCACACGGTGGTGCCCGCGCAGTTCGACCCCAAGTCCTTCCTCCTGGCCAGCAACGGCGGCATGCGCCTCACCGTCACCAAGCTGCACGACGCCGTCTGCTGAGGCGCGAGCGGACCTGCACTCTGCACGTACGCCCCGGCGCGCGACGCAGCTGCATGCACTGCGCCCACGTGACAGCGCTTACGTAACGCGTCGGTGTTTGTCGGGATGGGTTCACGTGCCCGAAAGTGGTGAATCATTGCGCAGGTGAGTCTGGATATTTCTGGATAATGGACTTCGCGCGCAAAAAAAGTGAATGTGTTGATGTGACGTGAATGTCAGTGCAAGTATTATTGCAGTCGTCAAGAAAAATGTTCTAGCAAGTTTTTACTCAATGCTCATATCCAAGAATAAACCGTTCGGAACAATAAAAATGCTCTGCGTTCACTTAAAAAAAGGGCAGTTTGAAGAAAGTACACAGTGTTGCACAGAACTGTATGGTTCGTTGCAAATATTAAAATGTAAATAAATGAAAGAATTCATGTTTTATAATTTGAGTCATTTATTAAAAGAAGCTCCTCACAAATAATCCCTGGTAATATATCATTAGAACAAAATTCAATAATCTGAAAGATATTTTTAAACAACCAAAATGATGAGTGTTGATATGTTTAGATTAATAATGGAACAGATGTAGAAGAAATAATAGGTATTTTATTATATAATAATTTCTTTGTATTTTTTGTTAAAAACATTTGTTTAACTTTAAACCTTTTGCATACTTCATCTTGTTAACATTGAACTTCGAAAAACAGACAATATAATACAAATTTTTAACTCATAAATGAAGAAAAATTGGTTATTAAATTCTTCAATAATAAATCTGTGGACATGCGGAATTTAGATATTCTATCTTCATAATAACGGTCAAATTGTACGTTGGATCTGATGTACCTCTTCAGTTTTAAATATTAGAATTTAATAATGTATTCAAAGTCAATGAAGTGTGAGTTTACAATTTCTTGCCAACACTCAAAATATTAGGACCACATTGGTTTGTTAATATTGTTAAGAATTGTATAAATCATACTCAGTCGAGAAGAGACTGTTTTAGTCTCGTTCAGTTATAAAAATTCGCTTAGTGGTTTGAAACTGACAGGTGTGGGTAACTTCGCTTAAGTCCATAGTGAAAATGAAACACACCTCCCGTAGAATAGCCAGCTAAAAAAATAAGGTGAAAATATTGACTTAAGCATTATGTATACGTATTCCTAAGAAGATTAGATAATCAGTTGCAACACGAGCAACTTCTCCAAGTGAGGCATAAGTGCAAAATGAAGACTGCAGATATGACGCAGAAAATACTTTAAAGGTTTGGAGCGCAGGAGTGATATTACGGCAGATCGCTTCTTGGAGCAGAGGGGCGGGGAAAATTAATCTGGCGCTAGCAAGAGAAACAGGATATATAATACATTTCTGAAAGAAAAAAAACTCATAACATGATGAATGTCTTTATTATGTCGAAAAGCGGGAGATGAGAAAATTAATTTTGTTTGGATGAAAAGAAACTTGGTAGTATTTAGTAACTTTTATAAAAAATTGTTAGGGTTCTGAAATGATTAAAGAGGGGAAGGTTTGCTTACAGTACAGGTAATCAACGCTCGTATTGTTGGGGCCCTATCAGTTGATGTGTGAAAGCTTCACTGTTTAGGAAATAAATTTGTATCTCTTACAGTTTTGCGCTCCCATGTATCTAGTGATGGGATTATGTCCAGAATACTAATTAATATGTGTTAACAATCTGATTTAAATGCGTAACATGATAACATTAAATTTAACTTATAACCACTTTTAGAAAAATATCTTGTGTAGTAAGTAATGTTTAATTGCCATCCTCTTTAAACTTTAATCAAAGTGTTACACGGGAAAAGTAAATGTCAAAAATATAAGTTTCTTTCTAAATTTTCAAGACAGTGAATTATCCGTTATAAAATCGATCTCTGGTGACAAAGACATGCTGAGACAGATAACGTAACATAGTGAGTCAATCACTACTTATTACGGATTCATATCTAAACCTATTACCACTTTTAACAAGTAATGAAAACATTCAATGAAATACAACTGTTCAAATGTTTAACTGTTTCAAATATTAAAATTTATAGATGACGTAGATTTCAGTATGAGTTCAATATTTCAATACTCGTGTGAATTTGTTGCGAAAAGCAAATGTGAATAAATGAGCATGCCCAAATTAAAAATGTTGATAAAATGAATATCGCATTTATCTAGGGTTACATCATCATGTTATATAAGAGTCCTGCGATAATATATTTTGTAGAAGTACAACTGTGAGTGTAAACTAGTAAAAAAACGTGGATAATACGTATATACTATTTTTCTTCAGTAGGTATTTCTTGGCTATATAATGCAATTTATTTACTTTATACAACTTGTGCGTCTCTTACAATAAGAAGGCATGAAAGGAAACATCATGCAGGAGTGAACTTACACAGTTTCATCTAGAGAGAGAGGAAAGGAAAACATAATGTACTTTGGGAACTCTTCGCTGGTTAAGAACTTCCCCTCACATACACCCACAAACACACAGGTTGACCGAGCCACGAACCACGAAGCCATTCGAAAAAAAAAATCTCAAAAAATCTCCCTCACGGATCGCGGGCGTCCTTACGATTCGATGATGGCCTGCGCTTCTTGCGGACAGCGCGAAGCCGCTCCAACCGCAGCATGCTCGCGGATATAGCCAGATCTCGGGGCGCCTCCGAAAGTCTTCTTAACAGGCGATCCGACCTCCTCAGATTGGCAATAAAAGATGCACGAGCCGCTCCGGCACCCGTTAGGGCCCGCGCGCAGGCGGCTTAAAAAAACAAAGGGCGAGACAATGGGATTCATGTAGCGCGGGCGGGGCGTGGGGGGCGCCTTGGGCGAGAAGTTCGGTGGCCTAAATCTTGCACGAGGTCGGAGCTGGAGACTCGCGGGCCGGGAGAGGCGCGGAGCGAGGCGTGTGGTGTGGTTGGGTTCCGCGGCGCGGAAGGCTGAAGAAGCCGAAGGCGGAGAGTCGTAAGAAGTCCGGGTTCCCTGGAACGAAAGCTGTGCTTCAGAAGCGTGAACAACCAGTTAACGAGATCGCTAGGTCAACGGTGTTCGCAATGTACAAATGCTGCCTCCTTCTGTACACACACGCTCGAAGGATCAAGGCACTCACTTTGTTTGCTGAGGAAATTCAATGCCACTGACTCTGCGACGACTCTGACCAGAAAGGGTTCGAGTCCCGACAGTCTTGAATTTTCGACACTAGCTTTAAAGCTAGGCTGAATTCAGCCATTATCTGAAGAAGAAGAAATGTAGCGACTGGCTACTCTAATCGGTAGCTTTCCGTGATTTCTCAAATCCAAGCGAACATGAGAGCGGTAACTTAACAAACGAGCTACGGAATAGGAGCGATCTTTCCTTCCTCTCCCTTCTCATTCTCTTTTCTCCACCTCCATGCATATCGGAAGACCAGTTGGGAGCTTAGAGTTTGTGTCTGCTGGGACAATATTCTGCTGGAAGGAGGTACCTGGAGGCAGAAATCCCTCGCAAGTCAACGTGTACGTCTGTGACGGATCTCACCATCCTGCGGGGGAAAAACGCAGGCAACTCCATCAATAAAACACTATACTTACGGGACTACTAACTTAACATTCGACGTACCTGGAAACATCAATCAATCGATCACAGTCAATCAATCAGTAACTTAATTTCATTATCATGTATTTACTCCATCCCCACAAAATATCGGTAAAAATGTAATCAAATTCCCTCTTTATGATGAAATAAATGAGAGGTTTATTTATTTCATTAATGAAATGCACCAATTTTATCTACAAAAAAGTGTTGTAGAAATTTATTACACTAATTAAAACATTTAAAAACGAAGTAATATTGGATTATATTAGCTCATGTCAAGACAAAACACAATAAACAAGTTCCCAGGACCTTCCATTCACTTTTTTATTACTTGCCAGTGTGAGCATAGTATTTAACTAGTATTCTGTTGATTCATTGATATAAAAATATAAATGTTCTCACAAAGTAATATAAACGAATAAAACTTAATTTTAATATAAAATTTATTTTTTTTTTCGCTTGTATTCATTTATTAAATAAGCAGAATTTACTTTAACTATAAACTAATGTTAAAAATTAGCTAAGGGGTTTTAAAAATTTAAATGAGAGCATTGCCTCACCTAATACGTCTGAATTAATGAACCCTACTTAAAACTACAATTTTACAAGAAATTATTTTTAATAAGTGATTACTGTGTTATTTTGCAGATAAACTGCATAACTATTTATCTACAAGGCAGCTCACTGATATTAGTGGTCCCAGGTAAAATACTTTGGGGGCCCACTCCACGGTACGGTGTTCGGCGCCTCAGCGCAAGGTGTTGAGCAGCTCACTCCTTGAATAGCGATGTGTAGACCAGAGGTGTCCAATTTGCGAGGCCTCAAGGGCCCTAACTAAAACATTTAATACGGTTGCGGAGCATATTCTTATTACTCGGGCGATCTACATCTGTCTTCCCCCTACTGTTGATCTCTCAGCAGTTTGCCCCGCTGCTCTGAAACGGAAGGCAAGGGAAAACATCCATAAATTGGGACGTTTTTGAAATCAACAATGGGATGCGATATCAACAAATTTCAGTAATCAGTAGGCACAGGACTTATACGGCAAATAATAAATGAATTTTGTTTGCATTTATTCTGTGAAAGCTTAAAAAGTATGCACTGAAATATGCCATGTAAAATATGTAACCCGTCCTCAGTACTTTTGTAATCACTTAAACTCACAGAACATTCTTCTGACTACTTCCTCTTAGTGTAAAACTATGAAGTTTTGAAAAATAGACGTAGTTAATAGTATTAGTTACATTACACAATGTCTTTCGCAATACCCATTATACCAATTACTATTAAAATCACGTTTGAACACAATTCCGACCACTTCAGAAGCCAACTTCATATCTTGCAAATGGTTAGTTTCTTTCTTTTTCGCATCCTGTTTTAGTCCCCACTGGATAATGTGCGATTTATAGTCACGTGGGTTAGTTCATCGGCGTTGATGACTTTGAAGATAAAACTCCACAGATTGTGTTTCGAATTGATTGTGAGTAAACTTCATGCATAACTCAGATACACGAAATTGATGGCTACCTGACAGATACCTGATTGCTACTTATGCAGAAACATACATTACAAAATTTAAAATCGATTAAAATCAATATTATGAATGTGAATAACGATAAACGTTTTTAAGCAAAATATTCAGAATACGTAGCACAGAAGTATGATGCCTAATAGAAAGCCGACAAAGTATGCAAGTTAAACGTTAAATCGTGTGTATATTAAAGAATATTGAGTGTTGCAAATATAAAGTTGTTGCTTTCCGTTAAAACGCTCTTTTTCTGTAGATATGTGACGATGAAAAGCTTAAGCAGGTGGATTTTGCTAATTACGGTGAAGAGAATACGTCATGTTGGCCACATGTGACTCTTACCCCCAAGCATGGGAATTTATCTAAGCTCATGCACGAGAGACGCCGTTAGCTGGCCAGCAAAATAGAATTATCGACTCATAATACAAAATTTTGATTCCCCTTAGCCTGAGATCCACTGAAGCAACCCATTTCAAAGAAAATTCTCGGCTATCCGGGAGACGCCGCGTCGTTGGCTGGGAGGCCGACGTTTCGCATGACATGTCGGAGGCTTCCTCAAGCCAGTGACTGCTCTGCCTGACGTCACTGCCCTGAGGTAGCCTCCGACATGTCAGGCGAAACGTCGGCCTCCCAGCCAACGACGCGGCGTTTCCAGGATAGCCGAGAATTTATGGATTCGAGCCGCGGAAGCTTACGTGTACATTTCAAAGAACGCTGTACTGCTCGTTTACACGGAAACTCCTGGAGTTTGCATCGCGGCAGAGCGAAGGGTCATGCGTAGGAGGAGAACTCATCAGCCTTGACGCGGAGGGGGTGAAGGAGGGGAAGCACTGGCGAACGGAGGGGTAGAAGAACCTCGCATCAAGAAAAACCTTCCCAGCTCTCATTTCTTTTCGCTGCGCGGCGGTATGCAGCTCGCAAGAAGTATTGCTGTACGTATATAAGCTGGCGGACTGCGTAATATAAGCTAGACCTATAAGAGAGGCTTAGAAAGGACTCACTAAGAGTTTTATTTGTAAATGGGAGTTTGGAGCAAAACTAAATACGTTCCTGGAGCAAGTGAAGTGTTTTTTGTTCACTTTGGCGACAATTCAGAGGCGTTGGGCAGCACGGAGAGTCTCCAGCATGGTTCCCCGTCAACTTCATGTTCTCGCAAGCTGACGAGCAGAAACCGACATCGCTTCCAGAACGAGGTTTTTGCTTCCAATATTATTGTTTTATGAAAGAACTAGGACAAAATCACATTCTTAAAAGCCATGTTAAGTCAATAGATTCGTATGAGTAGCTATTGAGCTATTGATTTTGAAAGAAATCCGTCAGGGAACTTTTCACATTTTAGACTCTACATATCTCTGGTTTATTGTGGGATTTTATGAAAAACATTTGCAAAGTTAAAGATAATACTTTGAAATTCAGCAAAATAATAGATTTGTGAATTCTTGCAGAAAGAGAAATTTAACTCAGTTTGTTTTGGATAAATGTAATTTTTAGAACAAATTAGCAATTCTAATGAATTTGGAATACTGAATATTTTAATTCAAGGACATTATTCATTACTTTACCAATTATTGTGCTGTATAGGATTTACAGAGTTTGTGTTCTGTTTCAGGGTTTATTGTAATATCGTTCGTTGATATTGTTTTTTGAATATATGTATTGTGTTTTAACATTTTGAATTTTGTTCCGTTTCCAATTATTCGAGTACGTCCCACCTAACCCTGAGATCCCAATAGTAGGAAAATTAGTAAGTGAAGGTTACAAAGTAACCAACTGAGTAGGCAAATTGCCCGTCTAACAATTTTTTTACAATCACCTGCACTCAATCAGAGGAGTGTTTGGCGATTGATGCACCCCACCCCACAGGCCAGGTGGGGAGATTACATTTCCCAAACGTAAAAGTGGGTGGCAGTTAAATATACAGACACTGTATTGGGTGTTTCGTGCACTTATTATCACGTGAGCATCTTATTGCAGGGGCAAAATACGCGGCATCGAAATCCTATGTCTAACAATCAGCCGCACAGCTTCGTCTCCCCGCCGCTGCGCGCACAGCTGAGGAGCTCTTGGAGGCTGAGCGGGAGCGCCTGCGGCTGCTGTTGTGGCGGGCGGGGGCTACCAGCGCCCGCGTTCTTGCCGGCCGGCTGGCCGCGCCGGGGGCGACCCGGGCGCACCAAGTCCATCGTCAGGGCTTGTCGGCGCATCTGGCGCGCCACGGGGCCTTGCGGTTCGTGCACCCTACGCCCTCCCCCCCTTCC